GAATCTGATGGATGAGATAGAGAGAAGCTGAAGTGAGCACAAAGTGTAGATGACTATCCAAGTTGATATTCAAACTGAGTAGTTACAGCAATTGTATATGGTTTATATACTAATGATAGTTAATTCTGAGTTAAGGTCTATTGGGTTCTGATGTCAATTGTTTGCTATCATATTCAGAGTCTAAATACTATGATGTGAAATACAAATATGAAATAGTAATGGTAAAATAAAATTAGTAGGTAAAAGGAAGCATATGGAGTCTAGTGAAGCTTGGTGATTGAATTCATGATTGGTTGTAGTCACACAGAGGCTGGTGGTATGCATATAACAATTCTACACCATCTTCTCTCAAGCCTAACTGTCTTTAGCCTTAGAACATTATGACTATCAGACACATTTAGTGAACTCTGATGTGGCTGTACAAACTTGATACAGTGTCAGTTTATCATGTGTTCAGATCATATGCACTTTGAGTCTAACAGATTGGACCTGAGTGCATGCATGGAGACTGGTAAAGTGTATAGGCATTAATGAAGCTATTAGCAATGTCACTCTTAATTTAAGGCCCAAGGACTTAGATTAGCAGAATAGAGGTCTATTAGAGAAGTGAAGCAGAGTATTCTTTGGAGCAGAGTCTAATAGACAAGATAAAGAGGATTGAAGTGAGTACAAAGTGTAAGTGGCTATCTAAGTTAATACTCAAACTGAGTAATTACAATGATTATACATGGTTTATATACTAACAGTAGCTAATTCTGAGTCAGGGTCTATTGGGCTCTAGTGTCAATTATTTGCTACTGCATTTGGAGTCTAAATATTATAATATGAAATCTAAATGTGAAATGATCAAGGTAAAATGAAATTAATAAGAGTAGAGAATGGCCAGAGGCCAGTGGAACTTGGCAGTTGAATTTTAGGTTGGTTGGAATGAACAGAGACCAGTGGTATGTGTGTAACACATTGATAACTTGTCTAAAACTGGATGGAAATTAACTGACAAAGACTTTTGAGAAATCATCATATGCTTTCTCTCTCACAGTACAAACTAGCTCTCAATCATACCTTTTTATACCAGTGCAAGATGTCAGTTGAGATTATATCACTCTTGCAGATCCACCATATTATCTTGTATTCCAATAAGACAGATGCATCTCTTGTCCTGAATGCAAAGTTGTCTACCAGTAAATAGTGCTCTAATCTAAACTGTAAGGCCTGTAAACATTCAACTCACAACATTATGGATTGTTATTGGCCTAGAGGAGGAAAAGAGAGTCAGTTCTCTGACAATTTCAGAAGAAATAAACAGAATAACCAGGCAAACAATACAATATCCAGCATACAAGTAGTGACAGCTCCTGATACACCCAGGCAAACATGACAATAGCCTATATCCCCCATATCACATTCATGACATATAACAATGAATGGTGATGAGACTAGCCAGGGTGTAATGGTAAAGAAGGTGCTGCTCAAAGGAGCTATTACAGTGTTCAATGAGAAGGATAATATTATATATATTCATTAGGCTAGAGATGAGCTGAGTGATAAGAAAATGCTGCATATTGAAGATATTGACAGTGACTTGGATAACTTAAATGGATTTGAGATAACTTGTTCACTAACTGATTCAGATTTTGAGATTACTACCTTGTCTATTTTGGAGTTTGATGTACTTGATCTTGAGGAGATTGATGATGATGAGGCTCTGGATCTGGATCTTAGTCTCTTTGGGGTGGAGGAATTTATATACAATACACCTGTGGCAGATAAAGCATATGTATTAACAATATTCAAGATACAGAAACTGACCAAATCACTACACTTCATGGACTCAAGAGCTAGCAACCACATCATGAAGGATCAGAAGGGTTTCACAGAGTATACAGCACAGCTATTTCATACTGGCTCCTCAGTAAAGCAGCTAGAGGGCAGATTCACAATCCCAGAAGTGAAAACAACTAGCAAACTATTCTGTTGCAAGACTGGAGAGAACAAACTCATGAGACTGACATTCAAGAATGCATTATACACACTCTCACTGGCCACAAATCTTATTTTCATCAGTGCCCTTGATGCAGCCAGATTCTCTACAATGTTTGAGGAAGAATAAGCAGTTGTCAGAGATACAAATAGTGCAGAAGTCTTCACCAGATATAGTGAGAGTGAAATGTATGTCTTTGAGTATATTGATGATAAGAGAAATATACCTGCTGGGCACTTCACAATGTCATCAAGGAGTGACCCAATCTCACTGTGCCAATGGCATCACTGTCTTATGCATGCAAGTATTAAAACAATTAAAAAAATAGTCTCAAAAAATCTGATAGACAGGCTCACTAGTGAAATCACTAACAGAAAGGTCAAAGAAAAGTGCAAGGACTGCCTCATGGCAAAGCAGACACATTGACCTTTTGATGAGCCAACTGAACCAAATGTGGAATCTTTGAACCTTATGGTGATAGATCTGTGGAGACTGAGCTGCATAATATCCAATAGAGAAAAGTCTTATTTTATGCCAATCATAAATAGTGGCACATCTTTCAAACATGAGGTATTTCTTGCTGATAAACCAGATGAGACAATGATTTAGGCTTTTGATGATTTCTGAGTGATGGCTGAAAATCAGACAGATCAACATTAGATCTGCTTGATACATGACTTTAGACACATGATAAACTCATGCTGTGTCAAATTCACACCATCACATTAGAGTCCACTTAATGTGAATCAAGTAGTGTTTGATCAAGACCACACAAGTTAGGCTCAAGAGAGAAAGAGTGGTATAGATAAACTTTAGCTCAAAGCTGGTCTATTACAGTGAGAGCTATGCTACTTATATATATTTTGTATAAACTAAATATAGTTTCTACTTATTATGCATTTCTATAATATGGTGCCATTGTGTCCAGTTATCAAGAGCAGAACAATAAAGTATTGTCTGTTGATAAGATATCTGTGATATGTCAAAGGATAATAGTGCAAGATACCTATTGTAGTTAAATAATTGTCCCACAGTTGATAGCCACCTTAGATAAGATAGACACTCTGATAAAATAAGATCAAAAATAAGATAATCAAGAGAAAAGATAAAATAAGCAGAAAAATTATAATATTACTCTCTGGTTAAAACCATTATCCTGATGGCTCAATTAAAGGAAAGTTTATAGTCATAAATGATATTAGTAATATTCATATTACATTCACTGACTCACTGATTGGATTTAAGGCTATAACTCTTCCACTTAATGAGATATTCAACAACAGTAGAGGGGCATTAACTCCAATAGCTGCAAGTTTTACAAATGCAGTGGTTAAAAATCTGTTCAATTTCATAATGTTCTCTCTCATTGACCAGAACTGGTTTGAAAGGTAGAGGAGTTTCTTGATTGAGAAAAGTGAGAGATATATAAAGAGAGAGAAGAGATTTGTTGAAAATAAGGTGTATCTTCTAAGTCATAGAGAGTGTGAGATGATAGGTAGAGGTCCTGACCTTCTTACTGATGGCAAAAAAACTGGTGTTTTTATTGGCAAGCTTCTTTTTCAGGCAAGAAAGATGGAGATTAGTTGTATCCAGCCAAACTCAGTCTCTGACTGTGTACTAGACAGCAGAATGGCAGAATTTATCATATTGATGTTTCATTATGATGGTAACTTTCTCAAGAGCAGACTTTGTCTCATCATGGATCTTGGTCATTTAATCCACAAACAATGTGGATGTGGGAGTTATAGTGGAGTGGCAGGATGAACCAGTGATGTGAGAATGTCACTCATATTTGACAAAGAATGGGATTTTGTCCATTGTCAAGTGTATCCAGTTGTTGTATTGGAAAGTTGTGAGCAGGAGCCAGTTGGTCCAGTCATCTTGCCAATAGTTGATAAACATTCAGAGATACTTCTTGACTTCACTCTGTCTGCCCATCTGTCTGTGAGTGATAAGTAGTAAAGGTGTTGCTTCAAATCTGAAAAAGATGATATAAGTCTGTTATAAACTTACAGATAAACTGTAGTCCTCAGTCTAAAATCACCACTTGTGACATGCTGTATTTGGCATATACCTTGTCTTGTAAGATCTTTGCCCATCTTTCTGATGACAACTCTGTCAAGCATGTGATCAAAATAATTACCTTTGAGAAGCAATCAACTATGATGATAATAGCATTGTAACCTTGGCACTCTAGCAAACCAGTGACCATGTCTACAGATATGTGTGTCCATAGTGTGCTTGGTACTTCATTTGGATGTAGTGGGGCTGCTTTCACTTGCATGCTCAATTTGATGCACTGGCAGGTTTTGCAGGCCCTCACATACTTCTCCACATTCCTCTTCAGTTTTGGCCACCAGTATTCCTGTAATACTAACTCTGTGGTCTTCATGATTCCAGGGTGTCCTGCAGTGATGTGGTCATGTGATTGGGCAATAATCTTCCCTCAGAGGGCTTGATCTCAAAGCATATAGATCTGACCATTGTAATAGATCAGATCTCTTTTTGGTCATCTCTCAGTCATGATTGATGGAAGGGGCCATCTTCTGATCCACAGCTCAGTACATCGGAATGCACTTCATGGAAGAAACACATACTTGATGACAAAGCAGATGTGTTTCCTCAGAATGCAAGCCGGTTCTGGCCAAAATGGAAGAGTGAATCAGATCGGACTATGCTTCAGAGAGAAAGACCTATTGTGCGCCGAGGCGAAGGCCAGGCACAACGGTGCAGCGCCGATGAAGGGCGGGGTGACGAGTGTCTAGAAGGGTAAGTCACAGAGGTCACTTCCACACACTTACAGTGGACAAAGGTGGTGTTGCTGAAAAGCAGTAGAGATGATGGCAGTAGAGGAAAGAGTTGGAAGATGTGGGTTGTCGAACCGTCGTGCCCTTTTATACCCTGAGGACCCACCCGCGTAGCGCAGATCCCAGCGACAGTCGACATCATTCGCACGACGATGATGTAATGCATTAAGCGCATCGACATTTCTTCTCATGAGATTGTCCAATTTGGATGACATTCTTGTTCAATAATCCAATGCCCACGATCCCACCCACCCAGGTTGAACCCCGTGGTCCTCCTTATCCTTGAAAGTCGGGAGGAACACACTGATCAACACGCACCAACAACGCGTCCGTTTCCAACGCTTTCGTCATGCAGTGGTACCTAGGTCACCGAAGAACTTAACATTAGTAACCAAAATATAACATGCTACTCTAAGAAACGATGAAAGAAAACAAGAAAAACATGCGTCGTATGCAAATGGATCCGTAACTAGTAAATGTCATCAAGGAATATAACGTGATATGAAATTAGAATCATCTCAAGCACCTGGTACAAAAACAGCTAACCCCGCTGCTTGTATCTTCGCCGGGTCCTCCTGGTTTAACATAGCTATGAGTTGAATCAGCTCTGCCCGGACCTCATCCCCAACCTGGTCAGGCTGACTTGGGTCAAGGACAACAGCGAATTCCTGTAAGAGGCTATCAAGGTGAGGTAGGAGGACACTGGAGTTGGTCCGGAAGAGGTGGAAGATGGCGCGGAACACAGGGCGGTTCTCAAGGAAGTCGTTCTTCAGTGGCAGCGCATTGAGCCATACGGGAAGAACTTGGTCCAAGGGGAGAGCAGTGGTATTGCGCACGATGAGACGCGCAACAGCGCCAGCCGCGTTATCCTTGGCATTAAGGCGGGCTGCCGGACTGTCAGGAAGGACGACGAAGAGAGGTTGAAGGGCAGCGAGGACATGAAGATATTGTGGTGACAAGTCCATCTGAGAATGTTCGACAAGCAATCCAATACCAAATGCTGCATTACTAAGAACTTCGGGCTCTTCGTCGCTTAAAGCGCGGTAGAAGAGTTCAAGAAGGGGTTCTGAGGACGGCGTAACTGACTCTTTCATGCCCGCAATAATTTCGGCCAAGCAACCAATTGCAGATGAGCGATCGCTAAGCGAACGGCCTTTTTTCTAAAGAATAATTCAATTGCTAGGATACGCAAGGCGACAAAATGGGCTTACGTAGAATTTGGAGATGAGAGGGAAATATGTGCCGAAAGCAGGAGCAAAATCAGCACCCAAGACATTAGCCAAAGCGGACACAAGGTCTCCTGCAGAAGAAATCAAGACAGAATCATACTCAGCCTGATCTTCGGGGGCTTCTTCACTTTCATCCTGGTCAGGATCCTGTTGACAGAACGCCTTTTGCCCAAGAATTTGAACAGCGATCTCGGAAACGCGATCGAGGTCTATCAACTTATAAGGGGGATGCACGAGCCAAGATCAGGAAACAACACACAGCCATCGACAAACGCGGGACCAATCTTGTTCAAAGTTTCTGCGAAGCCAACACATAGCGAAGATACAACAGACCTATGAGATGAAAGGCGATTAGTTCAGTTCCATAGAAGTTGGTTAAAGAATGTGATCAGAATAATAATAAAAAAATAGTCTCATGCGCATTTGCGTCGAAGTGAGCTGAGTTTAATTTTTCGTCACGCAATGGCAATGCTAGCGAAGAAGAAATCAACACCTACTTGTTATCTTCGGTCTGGTACATGTCCAATAAATGGGGGACGACGTGGTTAATGAGGTCCCGCACGGTGCTCTGAACAGGCACTTGCTACAGGCTCCGTTAGGCGCTATCAACAACTCCAAACCGACATTCGCAACGCACCACAACTTTGCCGGCAACCCAATCTTGGTGATCGCTCAAATCATAGAAGGTCCTAACGATCTCAAGCAAGGAGTCCATCGCGCTCTTCCTGATGCCCTCATAGTAGTGGTTGAGGAGTTCAGTGAGTTCCAAGGAGCAGGGCTCAACGTAAGGGAAGAAATGATGCTTGGTGGAAGCGAAAAGAGTGCCAATAGTGTCGGCGGCAATCTCTTTCTCAACAGCAATAGCACTGTTGACGTCCATCATCTTATTGAGATCGAGATTATCCAACTCAACACCATCTGCACCATGACCATCGTCATCAGAGATTGTGATGGCATTGGAAGGAGAAGAACCAGAGTCAAACGCCGCAACAGCGTCAGATACAGAAACTAGAGAGGAAAAGGTCAGTAATACGAAAAAAATAATAACGCAAGAAACATACACTCTGTTCCACCTTCGTCCTGTTTGCAACTCTGCAGCAAGGGAGGAACAACGTTAGGTAGATAAGGGGCAAATTCTTCGCCGAATACTCTCGCCATAACACCAAAGAATAAAAAGCTGCATTCTCTTAAGCGAGCACTCTCCATCTCAATTCCTTGGAAGGCTTGCTTCATCATATCAGGGAAGTAAGGCCGGAAACGATCTTTGCCAACAGCTTCGGCAAACGTTCCAATAGCATCCATTGTGATGCCTCGAAGTTCGGTCTCCTCTCCCTCGCCGGTGAGAACAAGGAAGTGTTGCAGGCGTGACATAGTGTGCTCGAAGTAGGGGAGGAAACGTTCCCTGGATGCATGAGCTGCACTTCCGATGGCACCAGTGACGACGGCTTTAACGGGAAGAGGCGCTGTCTCCAGGAGACCAGCAAGACGTTCCATGATAAGGTGAAGATATTGATCGATAACATCGTGTAAGATCTCAAGAAGAGTGTCAAGAGCTCCGCAGGCTGAACGCTGGGTGGGCTCGTCATTGATGAGGTTCATTATAGCCTGCAAGTCGCGCGTGTTAGCTACAAACGCCCCTTAGAGAGAGCTAGCACTTACGGGAACGAGCATGGCGTGCTTCGCAACACACTCGTCCTCAAGCCATTCACAGAGGCAACTGACAGCCGCACAGGTGGCTTTCCTAACACCAGCATCGTTATCTTGCAAACCCACTTCGATCATGGGCCAGACTTGACCCATCTGAGCTCCCATGAATTCACTGCAACCCTCAACGGCAACGCCGAGAGCCAACATGGCACCTCGCCTCTGAGCAGCGTCGGCCGAGGAGAAATATTGCACAATGAGGTTTCGCAGGAATGGGAAGACTTGGGTGGGTGGCAAGTTGGAAGAAAGCCCATCGATAATCCGAAGAGCGGACTAACAAATAGTCAAGACAGGTACAGGTATACTTAAAAAAAAAGACAACTCGCTCACCCGAGAAGGCGCCTCGTCGTCTACATCCTCAGGCTCTTCCTCAGTCGTAATAGGCATGAGATGCTCCAGCATTACAGGAGCGAGACCCGCGCTCTGGACCTTTGATTTCTTGCTGGTTCGGTGTTCACCGATTCAGAAAAATTGGACGCGATGCATTACTTGATACTCACTACTGGACAGTCCAGTTCAATGCGTTAAGAGCTAGAACTCTCAGGTCAGCTTCGAAGTTGCGATTGCCTCCACATTGGAGAAGGAAATTGACAAGGTCGGGTATGTTTTTGCTAAGGATGGGAACCTCCTGTTGATATTGTCATTATGACAACGTTGACGGCGAGACCAAAATGTTACCTACAAGGATGAGAAGGGTCTCCAGAACATCGAAGAGATGACGGGCTCCGCCGTCATTGCCAGTCTCGACTGTCTGGCCGATGACTTGGATTATGGAGGGAAGGAGAGCCTGATACATGGCCTGGAATGTCGTCAGATGCTATTCAAAACGAATTAACGGGCACACACGAGCTCCTGCTTGTCATCAGCATCGATGTACTGGGCGATAACACCCAGTGCCCTGTAGACTAGATCAACCTCGCGTCACGACGAGCCAGTGACTTATACCGACCTGACTGTGGTGATGCGAACTTCGATAGATTCCAGGTCATTTATGGTTCGCCCAAAAAGCTTGAAGAGCTCTACAAGGTGAGTTTGGAAACCTTCGCAGATGTTCTCGAGCACGGAATATAGCATGAATGTGCCGACTTCGCGGTGAGAAGCCACAGGAGAGGTGCAGGCCTGGTGGAGAATGGGCAGAAGCTGCGGCCAGTTACCTGCAGGGACTTCAATTGATGAGATGGCGGCTAAGACGCGCGCGGCAGAATGCCTGACAAGGGTACTACAGCCAATAGCTTAAACTGGAACATGTAACCACAAAAGGACAGCAGAACATACCTCTGTTCTTTTAAAATGAGCTCTGGGAAGCTGGCCTTCAGCTGTTCACGCTCTGTCTGGGAAACGAGCATCCACATCTTGCCGCTATCGTAATCGATGCGTTTTCTTAACTCCACGGCCGCAAGTTGGCGGATCTGATCCATAGATCGAATTTATACAGCTTTTCACGAGTTGACGAGGCGAATGACACATACAGCTTGTTCCTCCGAATTGGCGATGATATTCGCGAGCGCAGGAATACACTCAGGATTCTTGTAATACCCTTGTTTCAGCTGAGCAGTCGCCTATGATCACGAAGATGCATCTGAGCTCAAAAAGTATGAAATAAGATTAAATGGGGTTTACAGCTTTCAGTTGTGCGGTGTCGTTCGAAAGTGTCTGCATGAGCAGGGCAAGTAAACCCTGCATGAAATTGACCTAAATGCCAGATTAGACGCCGGCGGCACGCACATCAAGTTAGATAGAGAACTTACGGTCATCGCAGCGGACAGAGGAAGGGGGGAACGGGGAGAGATGAGGGAAGATAATGGTTAGGGATTGACGAGAGAAAAGATCAAGTGAAGCCAAAATTTTTGTCGGAGTTATAAAAAGTAACCAAAAGAGTTTTTCCGGCAAATCCCGTCTGACCAGCTTGGCTACTGTTGCCAAGGCTTGCCACTTTCTACGCTGTCGCTCCTGGTGTCCTTTCAGGTCTGACTGCCGATTTTTGATACATTGACGCTCTATCTTAGGGAAGCTAGTCATACCACCAAAGTCGATTTCTTCTCAGCGGTACAGGCCTGTAACTTGGCTGCAAAGTAACGATAGCTAGTACTGCGTTGGTAATCCCTTGCTTCTTTGTCACTACGCATTTCTGTCACAATAAGGACCTTGCTATTACCTGAGATCTTATGCTGCCTTTGTTCTTCAAGAGCCACCTCAAGTTAGGATAATGGATTCCTCATCATAACTACCATTGTTCAACAAAGTCATGCCATGGTGGCTTCGAGGTCCGTTCCGTCTAATAAGCCGCGTTCTTTCGGTCGCAAGTCATCCTTACCCGTCGTTCCAGGTGAACGCGACACAACACTCTAACGCTTAGCCATCTCATCACATTCGTTCAAAATTCACTGTCGTTGCTTTATTTAAAATATGTTGCGCAGCCTTTCATTCCGACAACGTCTGGCCAGTCCTCCGCGACGTCGTTTCAAGAAGCTTTTCAAAACTGCGTCAGTGGCACATTTCTTTGCGCTGTTATCTCTCCTCTTATGTTTCTTCCTCTGATTTTCCAATAGACGTCAACGTCTCCCCTCACAGCATGAGCTTCACGGTCCAGATAATGAGGTCGCTCAACTCCCCCAACCTCGCCGTCAACGCCAACGGCAATCCTTCAAGAGATGGTTTGTGTTGTTGTGGAAACGCTTCAGTCGGCCGAACCGTGCCAGGCAGTCGGGGCGGTTTTCATTCGTGCCTCCCGGCTTCACTTTTGTCTCTATCTCCATGACCAGAAAAAGGGACAGCAGAGAAATTCGTCGTGCTCGACGGTTTGGAGTCTTCTTTGAAGAAAGTGAGTAGCATCTCTTTATTTTATTAAGCTCTTCCTTGGCTAAGGGCACCATCTAGTTCCCTTCTCCCTCAGAGGCCTCGTGTAAAACCAAATTCTAGCATGCTTACCCCCATTCTCTGCTATGTCTCACTCTCAAAGCGCATAGAGGACAATTATCACTGTAGTCTACTTCTATATTGCATCATTAATACGACGTTCATCGCCATCTGCAGCAGTGGTCTTGGGCCTTTCCATGCCAAGGAGCACTGAGGTCAAAGTCAGAATCGCAGACATGACCACGTACATGGTCCTGATGGATCTAGGATGGGAGACCTGTATAAGGCTCCTTGTATGACGCTCGTCTAGGCAATAAATAAAGTAGGTCAAAACAGTATACCAATTAGCTTACGAACAAAATTCTTCCTCTTTCCTGTATGGCCGCTGTGGTTCCAAACATGTCGGAAAGCCTTGATGTGTGTCCGAACTGCTCGGCATGAAGGAAAGTTATACAGAATAAGGCTGGTATGACGCCAGCGAACAGAAACGACACCGTGGTGAAAAGGTACACTAATCGCATTGATTCGGTGGTAGGTATGGCAATGACCAACAACGCTAGAAAAGCGTCCAGAGAAACGGTAGACTGGATCAACCTCCTGATGATAAACCACAAGGATTGTAGCTCTTTTCCATAGACGTGCTTCAGCAGGTGGTTTAAGCCTAAATATTGACGTGGATCCTTCAGCTGACAATAAGGAATTGTGGGCAAAGCTTACCAGGATATAGATATGCAAGAGTAACTAGGGTCACTCAAAAAATATAAAAGACGTAGAAAAAAACCTGTCATATTTTAGAAAATTCATCCTTTTAGTCGCAGGAGACTCATGAAATCGCTGAGATGTTGATATTTCCTTTGATATTTATAAGCAAGTTTGAGATACGGAAAATCCTACTTGAACGTAAGCCACTTGTAATTCCATAGAGCACAGGCCTTCACATACGGAGAGCGACAAAAGGTCTGGAACATTCATCCACTACTTGTTTCCATCAATACAAATAAAACATGCATCTCTGGAGCAAATGTTAATTCACGAATATAATACAGATCAGAGGGCTTACAGGACAACAGGAAGCAACCAGTTAAGGAAAGACTTTCGTTCCCATACATCTCCAAGACGAGCCACCATCCAATGAAAGAGACTAAACAAGATGCGAAGTATTACCATAACTTAGAGATGAAAATAAGATGCGCCATTAGAAACCTCTACCGATATGCACACGGTCTCCAGTGCCTACCCTAACTCCGGGGATGTACTACATAATAGAGCGAATATTTTTTCCCTGAAGATACCCATGTATTTCAGTTTGACATTTGTAATTTGATGTCTCGGTATTGGGTACAGCACAATAACAGGACCGAGTCTACCAGCAACGACAGTGGCAACGAAAATGCATGTGAGCCCGACAGATGCCCTACCGGGCTAGTAGTAACTAGCAGCCTGGCAAGCTGCTTTATAGATACTCACGGAACTCGTATCTGAATACCCTGTATAGACCGCCTGAATAGTGGCACTGCAGTCGGTTCCGCCACGGGGAAATGATGTGAAGCTCAGCATCGTGTTCGTAACAATTCCATGAATGAGAACTGTGGCCGGCTTCGTGGCCGTCGCTAGGTCCGTAGAGATACTGCTGGCCTGTCAAGAGATTTAAGGGAAACTATCTATAGTTTGGGATTAGCAAAATTCCCTGAGAGCGAAAAGATATAAATCCTGTTGAGCTTACGAGTCGCGCGCGATCTTCACGACGCCTTCTTTCAGATTTCTGCATCAGTTGTGGGGAGACTGGATAAAATCCTGGGTGCTATAGTTATTCCTCGGAATTTTGACACCTGTCTGGGATTTCGTCAATGTCTTGGAAATTCAACTGCACTAAGTACGTACCAGTTGTGAGGTCCGCGACCACTGCAGTGACAGCTGGTAGTAATGGGTCTGGATCCAGTACAGCTGCCTCATGGTCGGCTACCCTGTTCGTGTCGTGTCTCAAGTAGATCAGACCGCAGGTCAAGTTCTTCGTCCTTTCTGTTACTAAACGAACGAGCTGCGCAACAATGAATGCGCTATTTGCGGCACTGTCCAAGAATTCGATTTGTTATGAATGACAACTGGTTCGCTGGACATCACGTCTTATGTTCCGGTCTGTTCGGAATGGAAAGAAGGGATCAAGTGGCAAGCTCGAATGCATCTAACTTGTAGATAACACCACGGCTCACCATTGTGGCTTCAAATCTTGAAGCCTGGATTCTGATGCTTCGCGCATAATAGGTGCCTTATACAGAAATTGAATCGCGATCCTTGCTGCAAGTACAGCGCCGACTCGAAGATCTCTGGTTGGGTGTCGGAGAGGTGATTATCCGAATTCCGTGTGCAGATTAAGAGCCGGCGGCTCTCTTATCTCCTCGTGGTTACTCATTGTCATCCCATCATGTCGTCGTTTTCCCATCGTCAAGGTCAGCCACCATGTCTGAAAAGGTCTTGATAGCGCCTTATGCGCCTCAGCGGTCCAACAGACGCAAGAAATCGTCGGTCTTCACCCGACTCTTTGCCGGAATCTCTGTTTGCTTTCTGTTGTTCGTTTCGCAGGCCCTACGGCTTCTTTGGGCCAAGGAGAAAACTACGCATATTCCCATTCACGCAGCAGAGACTTTGCAGAAATGCAAAACTCTTGATGTGCCAGCAGGTCCACCGCCAGATTTCCACTCGCGGACTGTATCGGATCGTTTTGTACCCGGCACGAAAGCTACTTTGCTCAAGAACGCGACGATCTGGACTGGATGCGTAAATGGACTTGAAGTTGTCAGAGGAGACATCTTACTGGACAAGGGTATCATCAAAGCAGTCGGAGCCGTTGATTCTTATGTACTGGCTCCATATATGACGCAGGACCTTGTCATCTATGATCTTGGCGGGGCATGGATTTCTCCAGGGTATGAAGCCAATCGGCTGTGTACTTTGTGACTTATGTCATCTCAGAATCGTCGACCTTCATTCCCATATTGGTGTCGGCAGTTCACCCCATATGTCAGGAGCAAGTGATACAAACTCTCGCCATGGTATCATTCAGCCATGGCTTCGCAGTCTTGACGGACTTAACACACATGATGACTCATACCGTCTTTCCATCTCTGGCGGTGTTACCACAGCTCTTGTTCTTCCCGGATCTGCCAATGGCATTGGGGGACAAGGGTTCGTGATCAAGTTGCGTCCCACAGCTGAACGATCGCCATCGTCTATGCTGTTAGAGCCACCTTTCTCTATCAATAATACTGATGTAGACCCGTCCTTGCCGCCTCGGTGGCGGCAAATGAAGCACGCGTGTGGTATGTGCCGTTGGAGCAATTCTTTCGCGAAGACATAATAAGTATTAATAACATGTATAATTGCATTGCAGGAGAAAACCCCAGTACGTCTTGCTTGAACATCCCTCGAAAATACCTAATCTTCTTTAGGTCGGGTATATTCTGGCACACGCATGGACACTATATGGGCGCTCCGGAATGGGTATGCTGTTCCTAACTATAAATCTATTCATAGTCAAGTCTCATGGACGTCTCTAGATATGAAAAGGCTCGCCAGATCAAACAACAACAAGATGACTACTGTGCGAAAGCGCTTATTGGTAACTGGCAAGGCTTAGGTGCATTCCCGGGAGAATTACAGTGGGAGGCTCTCGTTGATGTATTAAGAGGCAGGGTCAAGGTTAGTAGGTTCTTCGATAAAAAGTACTTGTTTTCACTCTGAGCTAGGTTCAAAATCACTGTTATGAAGCCGTCGATCTGGATGGGATCGTCCGTGTAAGATTGGTCCCGCACATTGAAAAGAAGTTTCTGTTGACAAGGTCATCAGCTCACCAATGAATTTAAATTCTCCCTTGCTGCTTTCCATCACGCGCATGAAACATACCTAGTTCCCGACTTGCTAAAGAAAGCTTATGGTTAGAGATATGTTATGCCCCTCAATTTCTGCTGATTGTTCTCTAGGCAAGCCACCTGCGATCGCTCTTTTTGCCACCAATGCCAGATATAAACGCGAGGCGTATCGTGGGTCAGAGTTTGCACCACGTATTTTGGCAGATAACGGGCTCGATGTTGTCATGAAGGTAAGATACTCTGATATGTTAGCCCGCTTGCCTACTTATATAATCTCTGTTACAGAGTGATCACCCAGTCTTGAATTCACGCTATCTTCTTCATGAAGCTCAACAAGCGCATTACTATGGGTTGGGAGATAATTTAGCGCTAGCATCCGTGACGTCGACTCCTGCAACTGTCATGGGACAAGACCATAGAATAGGTATCATCAAAGAGGGCTATGATGCTGGTAAAAAATCTCTAAATGAAGTGCAACTGCAGTGATTTTACTTTGCTTCTGCACAGATATCGTCGTCTGGGATAGCCACCCTCTTGCTATTGGCGCTACCCCAAAGCAGGTCTACATTGATGGAATTGCACAAATCGAAGAACCATATTCTAATCCAAAGCCCTCCCAATTACAAAGCGTTCCAAAGACCCCCAACTTCGATAAGGAGACTGCGGAAACGCTCAAACATGACGGCCTACCTCCTTTGGAGACGAAGCAAACTACTTCAGAAACTGTTGTTTTCGTTAATGTTTCAGACGTCTATATACGAGACCATCACAGAGTCAAGCACACATTTTCTGCTCAAAATTCCAATGAAGCGGGTGTTTTAGTGGTAGAGGCCGGCAAGACCATCTGCTCAGGTGTCGAAGCCACTTGTCTGGCTGAAAGCTCCTATGATGACGCCGTTGTGGTAGATCTCGCCGGCGGCTCTGTGGCGTATGTTCGCAGCTCTCTGTTGCTTCGGATTTTGACTGAATTTCTTTCCGCAGTCCGGGACTTGTATCTTTTGGCAGCGCACTGGGTCTGGGCCATATTGCCGGTGAAGCAAGCACCAATGATGGCCCAGTAATAGGACCACTGTTATCTAAGGTTCCAAGCATTCTAGGTGGAGATGATGCAGTCATTCGGGCCTCGGATGGGCTACAATTTGCCGCAAGAGATAGCTTGCGAGTTTACTTTCCTTCTTTGAATGATTTTGGCTAACGTAGGATGCAGGCTCGCATACCGCGGCGGCGTAACCACGGCCATCGTAGCACCTGTTGCACCCGGGCTGATATCCGGGTTGACAGCGGCGTTCTCTACGGGTTCTGCACACAAGTTGCAAAAGGGGGCTGTGGTTCAGGATGTGACTGCTCTGCATGTCATTGTTTCCCTCAGTTCTCCGATCGGCGTCAGTACTCAGATCGCTACACTGCGCCGTCTATTATTGGGGGGTGGAAGCGGTGATCTCGGGACTCAGTTCAATCGCGTCGTGGCTGTATGTGCTACTGGCTTGTGTGGATGGATTCTCATTCTTTTTTTCATAGGGCATAATCCCGCTCGTTATTGATGTCGACAACGCCGACATCATGACCTCGTTGATACGGCTCAAGTCCGAAATAGAAAGGACTACCGGTATTCCGTTACGGGTGACGTTCGCAGGTGCCGCGGAAGCTCACCTTCTTGCAGCCGAAATTGGAAATGCTGGTATTGGCGTCGTTGTGGTACCATCGCGGCCATTCCCAGCCCGATGGGAGCTTCGGAGAATGTGAGTCCAAATGAAAAATGTGATATCATAGTGTCTCATGAAGATCTAGTCTTCCAGGGCCTCCTTTGAGCGAGGATAGTGTCATTGGTGTTTTACAAGCACATAATGTAACCGTCGGTATCGGAAGCAGCGGTACATGGTCTGTGAGGAACATGCGGTTTGATGTTGCCTGGGCGAGTGGCTTTGCTTCTGTCTAAGGAACTTGTATCTGATCAATAAATAGGCGGGTTTGGAGGCGCATGCGGCGTTGTCGAAGTCTGAGGTCTTGGCATTGGGGTCAGCTAATGTTGAAACCCTCCTCGGTGTCGAGGATGATGCTAGTGATTTGGTGGCCACGAGGTCGGGTTCCTTGCTTGACTTTGAAGCCAAAGTAGTCGGAATCATTTCTTCACGTCGAGGATTGGTTGATATTCTTTAAACAGACGCAATAGGATGTTCGATCTCGATGAGACATTGCATGTGAATTCACAGGTTCGGCTGTTCTGATGCTCAACGTCCATGTAGACCCGGCCATTCCTGATTGGAGGGAGGAAGGATGTTTATTCTAGTTAGTTTCCTTCTTAGCAGACATGCTTGTGCTAGTTACGGTACCGAACACTCTTTGGACCAAACTGATTCAGCATACTTCCGTAGGGTGCAACCCCTCAGACCTAGCGTCATGGTGTGAATATAATCCTATAATAGTAAATGGCAAATCTACACTATCATACATTGAGACCTTGTGTCTCTGAATGACACCCTTTTTATATGGCAGCATCTCAAACCACCTAATTTCCTCTTGCGCTTTTGCTATGACCACCTTTCCTCCAGAGCTTGTAGAGAAAATCATATATGAGGTCTGATACTCTGAAATGCCATCCTACATCCAGAAGTCATTCATGACTACTTGCCCCAGCATCAACTGAACATAGAAAGCCATCTATAGCTCTATCACTTCTCAGGATATATATATCACCAACCTCTCATACATATACTATCTATCTGATATAGCCAGCTCCAAAAATCTATCATCTACTATGACTTCATCCTCTGGATTACCTGCATCATTACCTACTTTGTCAACCTCCAAGAGAATGCAATGGAAACAGCAGTGAAAACAGTGTATCACTATCTTGTCCACCTACCCAATGACATTGGCTTCAAAACCCTCTTTCCACTTGTTCCATACATCTCTTTTGAGCTCAGATGGACCAGTGTTATGCTGGTGTCTGCTACCACTGGTACCTGTCTATGATTCCTGAACCTCACTGGAGGAAGAAATGACTGAATGTATTTATCTTGACTGAGGTGAGCAGCCAGAGCTGATGGAATCTAATGGGTGACTTAGTGCATTGGGAGTTGGAAGTTGAAGTGGGTGTGATGCAGAGGCTGGTGGCATGCATGTAGCAATATCAATGTACAGTATGGTGGAATTGAATCAAGTCATGGGTTTATACATGCAATATGCATAGAACTAGGAACACTGCCTTGATTTTGTATATCATAATCCTATTCATAGTGTCATTGCTCAATCATTGCTCTTATGATGCAAAGTATAATGTGCAAGGCACTACAATATCATCCAGCAAACCCTGAAAATTTTTGCAATTTCACATCCAGAATATGTTTTAAAGATATTGAAATGCAAGTTATATTATGCTCATAGCATTTAGCATCAAAATTGAGTCACTTATAGAAATATAGATGGTCAACATGAATACAGACCAGTATGCAGCTCTATTCATCTGCAAGAAGTTAAAGATGCATTTGAGTTCAAATATATAATAAAGTGGCTTGCTAGGCTAGATCTGCAGGCTTCTCTCCTAACATTCAGGTAACTAGAGTTGTCTAGCCCCAAATCACAGACTCTCAATCAGATATACTCATATAGAGTCATGCAATACTAGTGTTTCTTGTTTAAACATCAGGTTTTTATATAGACTCAGCAGCCAGACTCACTGACTCAGACAAGACTGTTATAAACTCTTAATGTATATATGTAAAGTCATGATGAAGCTGCAAGAGAGCTAATACATGTTTATAAGTAAATCCACTGTGGCTGAACTATGAATATGAGACTATATTTTATACTCATATTTTTCTACTCTTTCTTAAAGCCTTGTGAGGAGACTATTGCATACTCACTATTATGATTTTTCCATCTTTTCTATGTTTTTACCCCTATTTATGCTTAGTCAGAGCATCTAAGCCAGCACTTAGAATCATGGGATAGGCTTAGTCAGCACAACAAGCTGAATCCACTATTGTCTTCTGATATGACAATGCACAACAACTCTTTTGTGGACAGTAGCAATGCTTAAGGACAAGAAGCACAAAGACTCAAACAGATACAATTAGCAGTAGTATTAATATCTTGACAGACAACTAGTATATAAGTAGAATAGCTCTCACTGTATAACCCCAGCTTTGAGCTAAAGTTTATACTTCACCATTCTATCTCAAGCCAACTGCAAGGCCTTGGAACACAACATCATATAGACACATATAGTGAACTCAGATATGACTGTACAAATACAATACAGCATCTGTTTATCATGTGTTTTAGATCACATGTCACTTGGGCTTAACAATTAGCTCAAAGCTTACACTTCTCTTTCCTTACACACAATAAGCATAAAGAAAACCAAATGCCACCCACTAACATCACATCTCCAGATCTCACCAATGACTTCTTTAAGCTATTAGCTTCCATCATCAGAATGCTTCTAGGCTTGTTAGCTATCATATAACTTTGCCAAGGATGACAATCAGTAACCACTTGGATAGTCAGACACTATCAAGCTTTTCAACAAGTATAGCAGATTCTATAAAATGTCATATCCAACCTCCTCTTTCACAATATTCCCATCTCTGTCAGAGCCTTCTTTCAGCCCCTGTCCAGACCCATACTCAGAGCTGAGCCTAGCAGAACAAATATGTAGAGTACTGAGAAAGAAGAGGAGGGACACTGATATCTTCCAGGACTATCTGATCAAATAGAAACAATAATACTCACCTCACAGGCTTTAAAAACCCATAGGTCCTGTCAGAGTTCTCTTTGGTCTCAAACTATAAAGATGAAGATCTCTCTGATGACTTCTTTGATAATGAGCCATTCTCTGACTCTTCTATGGCTCTGTCAGAGCATGAGATTGGAGATCATGTTTGGGACTCCCTTGATGCCACTCAGATAGCTTTAGAATCCCAATGTATATCTCCAAACTCAGACCACAACTCTCTCTATGCTACACCAGCTGGAAGCCCAGCCTTATTAGTCTACACTGACTATAGTAGTCATGAGGCCACTGACCTCTGGTCAAACAATGAGAATCTGCTAGAGTGAAGAAGTGAGAGACTCATAGCCTGAGTCAACTTGAGCAGAGGGCTTTGTGCTCAGCTCAGCCTAGAAAGAAGCCCATGAAACTACAGCCTAGAAGAACCACTTGATAACTACTATATCATCACCACTCAAGCAGAGTGAGCCTGTTAGACCCAAGTGTCACATAAATGGAAACACATGATAGGCAGAAACTGCCTTACACTTTGGGCAGTTGATTGAATTCACTGATGTGCTCCTTGATCTGAGTGAGATAAGGCCTTAGAATTGGCTCAAGTATAGAATGGTATAAGGATAAACTTTAGCTTGAAGCTGAGGATTACTAGCAAGAGTGAGCTTTCTTAAATACTGTATAAGGTCTGCTAATAATACTACTGCCTATTGTATGTTTCTGAGTCTATTGTGTTCATTGTCATTGGGTATCATTATTGTACACAAAAGGATAGTTGTGCATCATTGAGCAACATCATCACATTGAAAGACAATGACTCACTTGGCTAGTTGTGATGACTAAGCCTTATCCCATGGTCTTAAGTGCTTGTCTTAGCACTCTGACTAAGCACCAACAGGGGTTGAAGGACAGAATAAGATGAAAAATCATAATATTACCCCCTCCTTAAGACCATTGTCTTGATGGCTTAAGTTAGGGATAATTCATAGTCATATATGGTCTCATCTGCATTCATGAGTTTTTTGTTAATCCACTGATTGGATTCAGGTCCATATCCCTTCTAGCTGACCAAATAATCAACTGTTGTTATCATTTCACTATTTTTTGCTCTAATTTTTCATAGTCTGTAGTTCAGAACCTGATTGATTTCATAATTTTCTTTATCATTGATAAGGTCTGGGGGTGGTGGTGGTAGTTGCTCCTAGTTCAGAAATGCAGGTGCAATGTATAGTGAGAGTAGTGTTTCATTGAATATATCATGTATTTTCTAAGATGCAGATAGTTGGAGTTTATATGTGGAACTCCTGATCTTTTTGAGGATAGGAAATGGATCTGTTCTCTTGTTGGCAAGCTTTCATTTAGGGTATGAAAAGTGAAGGTTTGTAGTGTCTAGCCAGGCTTTATCATTGATAGCATACAAGTGTGCAATATGATAGTGTTTGTCATATTGCACCTTCATTGTTGATGCTGCCTTTTTGAGTGCTGACTTTGTTTCATTATAGATCTTCATCATTGTGGTGGTGAAGTCTGAGAATGTGGAGGTTGAAGTATGATATTGTTCTGTGTGACTGACATAGAGGTGCTGTCTATAGTTAATAAAGAAGGGTGTCTTGCTGATTGCTAAGTAGACATAGTTGTTGTATTAAAAAGCTGTGAGAGCCAGCCACTCCACTCAGTCATCCTGTCAGTAATTGATGAACAGCTGGAGGTACTTTTCTATCTCTTGGTTGACACATTTGGTCTGTCCATCTATTTGGGGGTGGTACACTGTAGAGGTGTTCCATTTGATACTAAGGAGTTGGTATAAGTCATCCAAAAACTTGGATACAAATTGTGGCCCACAGTCTGATATTATGACTTGGGGTATCCTATATTTGGCATATACTTTATTGCATAAGATTTTAGCCCATCCCTCCAAAGTTAACTCTGTGAAGCAGGTGATTGAAATGATCACTTTTGAGAAATGATCAATGATGATGATGATGATGGTGTTATAGCCATTACATTTAGGTAATCTGATGACTATATTCACTGAAATATAGGTCCATGGTGATGACAGGACTTCATTGGGATGCAGAGGTGCAGCTTGAGGCTGTGTTGATGATTTTCCCCTCTGGCATACTTCACAGGCTTTGATATATTGGGTGATATCATTGCCTATTTTTGGCCACCAGTATTCCCATAGCATAAGTTCCTTGGTCTTGGTGATGCCTGAGGGGCCAGCTGTTGCATAGTCATAGCAGATAACAATGATTTTGCCATGGAGATTTTGGTCTCTTGGTATGTAGATTCATCTATTGTAGTGAATCAATCCTTCCTCCTTCATCATTCTTTTTTCATGATTCAGCAATAGTGCAACCTATTGGTCTCACTTGCAGATGTCATGGATTGCACTCTTGATCCTTTCATGGATTTTCTCCTCTGTTGGCATTATCATTACCCTGAAGTGTTCAGGCTTTAATAATGTGACACCCTCATTATCATTTTCCCTTTGATCATGATCAGCATGATGAGAAAGCAGATCAGCCTTGTTGGCAACTCCTGCCTTGTAATAGAGGGTGTACTGATATTGACTGAGCTCAGTGACTTATTAGGCTTGTTGTTGATTCAGTTTTTGTAGCTGTTGAAAGTATCATAGATTCTGGTGGTCTGTCCAGATCTCA